CAAGGAAAAGAGCCTTCCTCCCTCACTGACAGGGGACAAGAAACTGTCAACTANTTTGATGGTTGATGGTACAGGGATGTGAAGCTAACTTTTACCATGTCATGTGTAGCTGTTCAAATGTTGGTACAGCATTGCAGGAGTACCTGGATACCTTCGATTCAGAGTTCATGTGTAGTTGTTCAAATGTTGGTACGGCATTGCAGGAGTACCTGGATACTTTCGATTCAGAGTTCATGTGTAGTTGTTCAGATGTTGGTACGGCATTGCTGGAGTACCTGGATACTTTCCCTTCAGAGTTACTGTATCAAGGAAAAGAGCCTTCCTCCCTCACTGACAGGGGACAAGAAACTATCAACTATACTCTATGTTCTACAGGATTGGTGAGTGAGGTGTATGGATGGAGGGTGTCACTGGAGTCATTATTATTGGATCAGAGACACATCCATTTTAGTCATGTAGAAAAACAAGAGCAAATGGTGAACTATAGGGATCTGCAGACTACCCGATTGTTAAACTTCTTAAATTTAACTACAGGAAGAAGATTTTGGGGATCCTACCACCGAATGACATTTCATAGTCACTGCTCATGGCAAGACTGCATGTGAAGACCTACGGACAACCATAAAGGGACAAGCCTGCAGGAACACTACACGGACCAAATAATGATTCCAAGATAACTCTTCATATAGCAACAAACCAACACACTAAACATGAACTTTGGGTCTGTTACTGAACTAAAGTCATGGGAGAAGAACTCTTTATTTATAAGACATTCAACAGCTACAACAATACATGACAGTAATTGAGAACTCAGTGGAAGTAACACTCAGCTCTTTCCATCCTCATGGTTTGTCACCATTCTATTCTCAACCGCCAAACATGCTGAGCATTCTTTTTGTGAAGTTCTAAAGAAAGCAGATCCAAGAAGATCCACTGGATGAATATATAATTTAACACATGCTGAAACACAGTTAACCACTGAGAAGTTAAGCAACAACAAAAACCGGCAAGTAGCATGTTTACATGTACAAATGACTTATAGTATTACCACCAGGTTTTTGTCAGTAAATTATTGTATTGTAGACCTTACTAAGATAAACACATGGTAAATATCCTACAATTTCAACATAAGCATCTTCATGATTTTATTACCAAGATCATATTTTCCCATAGCTGTCCAAAGATCACATATTCCTGTATATCGTGCTACAAGTTTTTGAACCCTTTCTTCATTTCCAGGTAAATCAAATGTTATATCAGTTGACATTGAAACCAAACTACTCTGTCTGAATTTTAGTTATACATCTGTCACAAAAGCATCTGATTACCTTGATTACAAGCCCCGAATGAGCTCTGTAGCTTGTACAAAACAGAAGTTATTATAATTTCTCATCCAAGCAACATCCCAAAAAATGCAGTCTTCTTTAGAATTTTCATTCCCCTTGCTCCACATAATCTGCAAGACACTGGGTGATACAATTTTGGAAGACAATCAATTTCTATGGCATCTATAAATTCATCTATTTTCACTGAAACTGAAGCAAACTGAGTTAAATACAGCACTTTTCCATAGTGAGTTGCGATGAAATGACTCATATGTAAATTAAATGAACAAAAATGGTTACAAACTGTGTAAAAATAAGTTATCCCTGTATCCAGCCGCAAAGGCCCACGGGGTTGTGAGATGTTGAGGCTCCCACATTTTCTATACAATCAGCTCACAGATGGCAGTAAGGTTGTCAGGCTTATGCGCAGATGCCCTTTACCCCCAAAGAAGATTCCTGGTACTATTTCTGTTAAAAGCTGAGTTCACCCCAGAGCCATACTGCGGCTGGACAGATTAGGTAAATTAAAGACATCAACTACAGCGGGACTCGAACCTGTGACCTTCCAGCTTGCAGCATATTCTGCAGTGTTCATGATTTGGCATCACACGGACACAATGAGACAGACCAGTTCCCAGTTAGAGTACCTTACTGGATTTGCTTTCCTACAAGGCTCAACTGAATGCTGTTTCAGAAAATTTGCAGAAACTGGGTTACAGCAGTTGTCCAGGCTACAAGATGGACAATCAAGGAGTCAGGTTTCAATTCCCAGCACAGGTATGAGATTTTTCTTTTCTCCATAATACCCAGACCAGTTCCATGGGGCAACAAGCCTCCAAAAAACATAGATATCTGGGGTGTTTCTCCAGGAATGGAGCAGCAGGAGCCCGAAGTTGAACACTCCTCTATCTAGTGAAAAGGCTGAGAATGGGGGAGCTATACTGTCACTTACCCATACATCTTCATGGACGGATGTTTAATTAATTAAGTCCAGATGTAACTTTACCTGAACAATGCTACAGTAACAAAACAAAAAAGAACAAAAAGCATACACAAACTTTTGGACTACATGCACCAATATCCCAGAGCTCAGGAGGGCACCTACTTTTGCTAAGAAGAGTAATGTTTTCAGTCCCCAGTAACAGGAGGACAACGGGCCTTGAATATGAGGGGTGAGCCATATAAACTGGCCCTTGCACTGCAATGGGCATTTACTTAAAATGTTGTCAACACAAGACTATAGGTGCAAACAATAAAGGGGGGGGGGCTATTATACGACATAAAACATAAACTCTACGCATATGAACATCTAAATAAGAACACAAAATTTCCTTCCTTTCCCTAAATATAACACTGGGGGAGTGGAACTAAATTTTACTCCCTCCTGGACCCTAGCTGCTGGTAGGGACAGCAAATGGTCAACAGGCTGGAAAACTGAGAAGTCATGGTTCGATTCCGTTTGGATAAGGTCTATTTTTCCATACCACCCAGACCTGCCCTCGTGACCATGAAACCATTTATAAAACGAGCACGGGGAGCTGATTACTCACCATCATGTCTTACATCATGTCTTAATGGCAAAGTGATTAATTACATCCTGGGATAACTTAACTATCACCTGGTCCCACATGCTCTATGTCCCGGGCAGCCACAGAAATACTTCCTCTGTCCCACCTAGCTTTCGTCCAAAAGCTTACACACACTTCTCACCACCCACAAGCCCCACAAGATTATTCTATATGGCCTGTCCATATATTAGCTTTCTTCCACTAACGATTTCAATAATAAAAAACACACTATATACAACTGAACCCTCACTGTAACGTATAATATTGTCCTTAACAGAGTGTAAAATGAAATTAACTGGAGCTCGTATCAAAATACTTGGTTTCTTCCATGTAAATCCACGGAACTAGACGTTAAAATTCTTTTCCGTCACCAGCAAAGGAGGAAACTTACCATTCTTTCTTTCACATCAAAACCGGTCCCACAGTACCACAGACGTACCACAAACAACGGACGAACACGAAGAACAGTGCATTCAGATGTAACGAAGCAGCGAGCTTAGCCTGTACATGCCTCATACCCTCGGAGTTCATATCTCACACCATTAAGAAACACCTGTATCGGTCTCTTTCGTCTCGGGGGTTACAACTCAGGTCGGTCATGGCGGTCATGGCGGCCATGTTGCCAGCCAATAGCATGGGAGTTTCACGGGGCTGGTTGGTAGCGCTTGGAAGTTGTTCCTGTGTTAGCAGTAGTATATTTTTGTTCTCGTAATTTTAAACAAGTTAAGTTATATCTGTTAAAGCGGCCTCCGTAGTCTAGAGGTAACGTTCCCACCTCATGACTCGTGGTACGCGGGTTCAAATACCCGGCGGAGATCGTCGGAAAAATTCAGGGAACAAGTCCTCCGGGAGGGACTTTACGGCACGTAAAAGAACCTCATATCCCCAAAGGGGATCACCGAGCCAAATTCCAGGACGTTTCCCGCTCAACAATAGTCTCTAAGGCCTCTGATAGATGGGGGAAGCATTATAGATACCGCTAAGCAAGTGGCCGAACTCGCTTGCTCGGCGGGACTGATGGTACGCACCATTTATCGGTAGGGTATAGAGACTGGTAGAATATCATAGAGGGAAGTACAATAGATCAAACTGGTCGCGGTGCATGGGGAAACCCACCCTCTCTAAATAACTAACTATATCTGTTAAGCTTTAATTTGCCCTACCGTGCAGAATTATTATCAATCGTATGTTTATCAGATCTAAATACACTTCCTGGATTAACCAAAATGCACATTGTTGCATCGACTCTTTCAATTTGTATGCCTCGTTGAATACAAAATGACATTATTTTAGTTTAGTGTTGCGATGAATTAATTGTTTCTTCTTTAATATAATCCTTTCTTTTATTATATTAACGTCATCAGAGGGTTAATATAGCAACGCTGTAGGTTATGTATCAAGTATTACATGTTGCTGAAGCTCCTCATTATGCAGTTTTATTTAATTCTTCATTTGTCCTGAAATTCTCCTCAGTATGCTCTTCCCTTGATGTTTGAGGCCAATTTTCACACCCATACAAAACTACTCGGAAAATTATAGTCTTGTATATTTTAAGTTTTATTGTATTTACAGCATATGAGAAGACAAGAGGATTGTGGTTTACGTGTTCTACACGCAGCCATAATATGCAGTTTTATAGCTTACCAGCTCTATTTTTCCTCTCATAAAGAAACCGACATTGGTGGGGAATAAAAATGTGCCACTGCAAGTGAAGGCACTATAGAAATTTAAATGATTCAGCTTTCCATTTGAAATGTATAGTTTTTTTTGACAAACCCTAAGGTAGACCACACACGGCATGCGTTGAGACATGTAATGATGACGCAAAGAAAGGAGCACATGTGAAACGAATTAGATTATGAAAACTGCCACACACTGGTCTGAGTCATGATGCTGATGTCATCTTCATGCTGACGAATCACAAATGAAGCAAGATTGCATCTTTTGTCTCATGTCTTAATGCGGTTGGTGTGTGACCACCCTAAAAGGTACAGAACTATAAGGCTTATTTTGGACTTTATCCATCGTCTGGTATATATAAGACAAAAAACCACAACATTTCAGAGACTGGATCTGTCTCCATCCTCAGGTGAGTGGGGCAGAATAGACGTACTCAGTTGGGCCCATTAGAAAGCGCTAGTCTCAATCCACCTGAGGACGGAGACAGATCCAGTCTCCGAAACGTTGTGGTTTTTTGTCTTTTATATACCAGGCGATGGATAGAGTCCAAAATAACCCTTATAGTTCTGTACAGCATACACCATAGTCAGAATCCTTTCAAGTCTAGCCCTAAAAGCTATTTGACCCACGAACTTCATTATGTCTAGAGTGCAGGCTTATATTTTTCAAGACAAGCAAAACTTACTGAAAATATAGGGGAAGAGTTTGGTCAGGTTATATATAACTGTTCTAAGTGCCTGGAACTTGGAAACAAATTACAACATACGCTCTCTGAGTTAAAATCATTGCAATTAGTAAATAAACTCTTGTTTAAGGAGTTAGAAGAGATTTCCACTAAATTTGAGATTATGACTGGTAAAACGCTGAATGAGAAATCGGACAAATCACAAAATGATTGGAGTAATACTGAATTTAAAACATATAGAAATACTAGAAGGAACAGTGAACTAAAAGGATCAGATACACCATACCTTCCTCTCGCTACAAATAAATACGATATTCTATCAAATATGATAGACCATACAACAAGGGAAGAAGATGCCTCATCCAGCCTCAAGGGAACCTCCTCTGAACCAAAGTTGGAAGAAACAAATCTTGTTACGTGTGATAAAGAACCAATCCTAATTTCTGGTAACAATACAAAAGAGAAACAAATACCTGTAATAGTAAATGGTGAAATAGTAACTAACAAATATGACAATTTAATACCAGTTCCAAGTTTCATTCATAATAGCTTAAACAAAATAAATAACCCCAATTATAAGGAATTGAAGAATGAAGGGAAAGAAAATAATAATAATCATAATATTGTAGCGTGACATACCAAAACACGCTAATACTAGGTGATAGTCATTCAAAGGGAATTGCAACTAAGATTGATGATTACCTAGGAAATAAATTTCAGGTTCATGGTATAGTGAAGCCAGGTGCAGGTATTGCTGACATAATAACCCAATCTCGTAGAAAGTATAAGAACCTAACAAAAAAGGACGTAATTGTGATACAGGATGAATCAAATGATATATATAGTAATAATTCGGAAGCTGCATTAATGCAGATCATGAAGTTCTGTAAGAATTTAAATAATACTAACATAATAGTGACGATAGTGACAGACATTCCATTGTGAACAAGGGAATTCAGGTCTTTAATCGAAAACTGAGGAAGGTTACCGAACAACTTAAACATGTAACAATATTAGAGCCTAGATTAAACAGAGAAATGTTCACACAACATGGGCTACATCTAAATAGGTTGAGAAAGTATTTAATAGCCAAACAAATAGCAAGGGAAATCTACGGACTAACAGAGGAAAAAACTATCAATGTAATTAGCCTGAAATGGAAACTAGAGACAAGGGTGAACTTAGAAACAATAAATACTTCATACACAGGTTATGATAATATCGAAGAACAACAAAATCATCCTACTAGTAGCAATGAAACATATAATGAGCATAAGGTTACACTAACACGAAGATAC